CAAATTAAAAATGTGGGACTAAATGTAGGCTCATTGGGCATTAGGTTTGTTGGTCGAAAAAGCAAAAAAATTAAATTGTTTTATAAAACAAAATTTGCATAGATTTAGTGTGAGGCTATGAGATAGATGGTTTGAATCATCAATATAAATTTGAATTGATACCTATAAAAAAAGAGTATGAAAATGTTTGAAGAGATGAGATATGATGGCAAAATTATCCTCCCAATACTCACAAGGATAAAGTTTTCATCAATTAAATCACACCAAACTCAACCTTATCCTGGGGAATGATAATGTGCAGCCGGGGGTCTTCAATCGGCCCAATCAGATGATGACAAATTAGAGGCTATGTAGTGCATTCGTGGAAAAATTATTTATTAGTTGATTCTGGGAAATCTCAATCACAATGATTCTTCACTTTCTCCATTACAATACATGCGTCATGTAGTGTTGATCAACCAATAACTTTTCAACAATGTTACATATTATTAAATTCATATCACTAACACTATCACTAATGATGTGATAAGGAAAAAAAAAAAAAAAAAAAAAAAAAAAAAACTAAGACACAAAATACACATTCTTAGTACAACTATTAATTAGTGGTCTCTATCATTTTTCATAACTTTTAGCAGAGGTGACGTACGCCGTGGTAGTGTATCCAATTCTATCCTATCCTATCATCTATTGGATTTCATACGTGTACTCCACTGTAAACTCTTCAATCAAAAAAATTTCAAAATCAAATCAAGGAGAAACTTTGTAGAATTATATAAAACTATACAGCTTGTTTGATTCTAATTTAAAAAAAACAGTTTTCAAAAAATTTTAATTTTTAATTTTTTTTTATTTTAATATTTTTAATGAATTTTTTTAATATTTTAAGTAATTATTTTCAATTTTTAGACACACTTAACATAAATATATTTAAAAAGTATAATATTTGTGAAAAAAAATCTTTAAAAAATACATAAAATATCAAAAAATATATTAAAAAAATACGACAATTTAGTACATGTTTTGTATTTTTGTGTATTTATTAGTTTTTTAAAATATTTTTTCACAAATATTTTACTATTTAAATACATCTAAGTAAGGTGTATCTAAAAAAATATAAAAAATTACTTAAAATTAAGAAAATACTTACTAAAAATATGAAAAATAAAAAACTCAGTTTTTAAAAAACTGAATTCAGAAAATTGAAACTACACACACTGATAAGTATTATTGATCTCAGTGATTCTGCGACATAGATCGTATTCACATTTTTTCAAAAAATAAAAAATAAATGCAGCCAAATCTATATTATTTTTTGTTTCTTTATTTTTTTTAGCATCTGCATTTAATTTAATTAAGTTTTGTTCGGAATGCAAATTTTTTTTTATTTTTTAAGAAAAAATATGTAAAAAAGAATGAAAAAAGAATTTTAATTTTATTATATAATTTTTTTGACTATATTTGCCAAATGGATAAAATAAATTGCATTTAATGCAAGGATTATGAATGGGGGTCATTTTACGAAGTTTTTTCTCAAAAAAATATATTTTATTGAAAATAATTTAAAATAATTTGATTTTTCATAGCAGTGCAAGTGGCAAACATAAAAATTATATTTTACTTTATAATTTTTACTGGACCTTTATTGAAAGGGCATTTATTTTAAATTATTATCATTGAAACATAAAATGTTCAGGATTTTATTTTTTAAAAAAAAATTCTTGAATATTATTTTATCTCAATTCAATGTAGAGTAAGATCATTTTTAATGGTAAATATCAAATTTAAATTTTATTGTCAAATTTTAACTATACTATAAGATCTTATTTTAATATTGGCTTTTTTTTTTTTATACAATTATCATCTCTGCCCAAATTTCATGGATAATAATATCAAAATTTGACAATTTCAATAATAATTTTACTGGTGCACCCAACTACTATAATATATAGTTATGGCAGTTCTATTAGCCAATTTCACTGAAATGAAAAAAAAAAAAAAAAAAAAAGTAGTCCATTTTGGGCAACAAAAAACAATACGGTTATTATTATACTATTTGAGAGGGGAGATTTGCACCTGACTGTGCGGCCAAGCTGAGACAACGTCAGACGTGACGGACCGCGTAGCGCCGAGCTAATCTCTGTTGACATGGCCAGTGGCCTGCCTTGCACGGTCGGAAATATTAACCGGTCAGGCAGCAACTGGCATAGCCGAGCTGCGTCTTGAACGTGTTGGACGGAGCTTGGGTTAGCGGATGCTGACCGGGCTAAAAGGTAACCCGAGCTAGTCTGTGGGCGCGATCAAGGCCGGTACACCTTGGATCGGTCAGTCGATATAAAGTGGTTTCGTGTGATCAAGATTGAAGGTAGACCGGTTGGAGGCCGGCATGCCTCGCAACCGGATGGTCATGATGAACCGACCAATGATAGTTTGGCCGAGGTGGGCAGGCGTTCGCCTGATTCCAAGTTATAGGTCGGCAACGCATAGCTCGGTTATGAGAATGTAATAGCGACTCTCCACAAGTGACAGGCCGGTCGTGGTACTCCGGTTAAGTATGCCACCTGGGCCAATGGCGTGAAGGAGAGGACATCCGCTCCACGCACGCCTCAATACCGTTGGACAGTTCTGTGTGTACTGGAGGGAGGACTGAGCCTTTATACGCGTAAGGTGGAGAGAGGCGAGCACTGCCACCTGTCTAGGGAAGGACAGCAGAGGTAGTGCGCGCACAATCTTGAGGCTGCATGGCTAGCCTAAAAATATGGAGGAAGAGGGACGTTGGAGGTAAGCGAATTCATCCTATCAAAAACTCTCTCTCTCTGATAGCCTTCTCCTTTAGCTTGTGGTCTGACTTGATCGTCGGAGGGTCTTTTCGGCACACCACCGCCGGGCAGCTCACCATTTTTGTGTTGCAGAGATAGACGCCATCACAAGAAGCTTGACGACCAAGGAGTACGGAGAACAGAGGATATTTCGCCCCCGTACACTATTTTTGAGATAGGATTTTTTAAAATCTAAATAGTTGGTTTGAAAAATCATGTTTGAAGTTAAATTCTGAAAATATATTTTAATTAATTTGTTATGATTTTTTTAAAACCATAGTTTTAAAACAAAATTTCAAATTAAAATTTTAGAAAAAAGCTTAAAAATAAATTCAAATTTACTTACATTTTAGAAATAAATAGGATGAATTACACTCATTTCTCTTAAGATTTGGAAAAAAAAACATAGTTAATTTAACATTTTTGACAAAAGTACACTGTTCTTTTCGTAAGACTAAATCGATTGAAATTAATGCAATTGTAATAAACAAAGACAAATACATATGTTAGTAAAAAAGTGATAACAATAATATTTTAAAATTAGTGTTGAAAAGGGCTTAACCGTTATTGAATTAAAAATTCAAGAGAAACAAATATAATTATGTTAAAAACGTGGGACTAAATGTAGGCTCATTTGGCATTAGGTTTGTTGGTTGAAAAAGCAAAAAAATTAAATTGCCACATTATATATATCAATTAATTATTTTTTTTCACAATTATTTATTCACACAAAAAAATAATTCAGAAATAACTTTTTTATTTGATAAAAAAAATCACTAAAAGAGTCAAATTTCCAAATGGGATCACTCTTTTTCTTTTTTCTTTTTTTTTTTGGTTTGAAATTTTCAAAAATAATTTTATGAATTTTCAATCTATATTTAAACCAAAAAGAGTAGTCACTCTACTTGGTTTTGGTTTTTAGAATTCATTTTTTCAGAATTTTTTTTTTAATTTTTCCTTTTTTTCCATTGAATTTTTTTAATATTTTAAGTAATTTTTTTTTTTAAAATTTAGGCACACCTAAGATAAATATACTTAAAAAATATAATTTGTGAAAAAAATCTTTAAAAAATTTACTAAATACAAACAATATTAAAATTTAATATAATTTTCGCATTTTTATTTATTTATTAATTTTTTAAAATATTTTTTCACAAAAATTTTACTTTTTAGATATATCTAAGGAAGGTGTATCTAAAAAAAATAATTTTTTTTTTAAATTTTAAAAATATTGACTAGAAATAAAAAAATAAAAAAACTCAATTTTCAAAAAATTAAAACCAAACACCTGAGTATTTTTTGTGAGTGTATGTCACTATGGCATTGGTATTTTATTATAAAATGTATAATTTAATCATAAAATTTTATAACGTTAATCACAAAATGCATAATTTAATCATAAATTAATATAACAAAAAAATATTATAACCAAAGTCACAAAAATATTTTATTACTCTAGTTTGTGACGAATAATAGTACTCCTTCCAGCCCAAAATATTAATTATTTATTCTATTTTTTATTGTCCTAAAATATTAGTTTATTTTCAAAAATTAAGTATAAAAATAATATAAATTTCTCATTTTACTCTTTTTTTTAATTCATTAATAATATATAAAGTACAATTAAATGTTCATCAAAAGATAATTTTAAAAAATTAATTTTTTAAAATGTAATAATTATACTATCAAAAAAATTAAAACCTTAAAAAAAAGAATTTCGACTTTGGAAACTTGGTTTTTTGGGTTTTTTCATTACAAAACAAATATTTTACAAAATTAAAAAAAACAAATCAAAGCAAAAATATCACATTAAATTTCATAATTATTTCATTTTTCTTAACAAACACCACATCTAACTAAAAAAAAATCTAACTACCTTTTTAAACACACAAATTTTTTACTCCAATAAAATCTTACAATTAAAAAAACTCACTTCCAAGACTCAAGATTTTGGCCGCGGATACTTTCTGTTGGATATTGACATATTTTGTAGTCGATGAGAACTTTGGGAAATGTAGCTGACATTTGCCTTTCATCGCATAAAAACAACGATCGACAAAAAAAGGATAATTACTAGAGAGAGAGAGAGAGAGAGAGAAGGCGAAGTGGAATTTCATCGAAGAAAGTTGAGCAATCGGATGTACAGAAATAGAAGTGGTTGAAGCATAAAAATCGTCATCAACAATGGCTTCCAAGAGGCATTTGCAGAGTTTGTTCAACAGAATTTGCAGGGAAAGTAGAATTATTAGGAGTTTTGGTGCTCTCTCTGAAAAAACCATGCCTTCCTCTTCTCAACACCTCATTAATTTGGAATATGAATGCAGTGCCCACAAGTAATCTCTCTCTCTCTCTCTCTCTCTGAGATCCTTTCCATATAGTCTGTATATGGATACACAATTTTATTTTTATGTTTATGTTTATGTTTATGTTTGTGTTTGTAAATTTGTATTTTCTTTTTGGCATCTCATATTGGATATGATGTTTGGTTTGGATAGAATTATTGATGGCTTAGGATACTTCTATTTTAGTGGTGCTTGGATTGAGTGATTTGAGTAAGAAATTAAGTGAAAGAGAACTCTTTTCTTATATAAGTGAAGTGAGAAATGGTAAAAATTTGCGACAAAGAGAGCTATTTTAGTGGTCATTTTGGTCCCTATACCTTCCATTGGCTCAATTTTGAGCTTAATTTTAGATTTTGTGTCAATTTAATCCGATTGATAACCTCGTTAGTGTTTTTGATACAAAATTATTACTGAATTGGTTAAGGTTAATCACTGAGTTGAGTAACTTTATAATTTTACCCTAAAAAACATGACATATGCCACTTATGTGAATATTTTTCATAAAAAAAATACTAAGAGTTGTAATCAGTTGGACCAAATTCAGACAAAATTATAAATTCAAGGTCAAAATTGAGCCAAATGAAATTATAGGATCAAAATGACACAAGGGCTAAAATGCAGGACTACGGTCAAAATTTGTCCTATTTTATTTTATAGGTTTGATTTCTCATCGAAAGTGGTGAGAGATTTTGTGGGAAACAAATGGATATTTGGTGGTGAGATTTAGTGAGGAACAGGCTGATTGGTTTTATATCTCATCAAAAGGGCCAGTGCTGTATGTCTGGCCCTTCCCCATTGCAACTTCAGAGATCTAAGTTTTGCTTAATTGCAAAGATATAAAATTGAAAAAAGTTCACATAATGTTAAGCTGATAAAGTATTTCTACTCTTTCTAAGAAACCGTGGCTAAGAAACTATTATGTATAGTTGCTAATGTTGAGTTCTATCTTTTGAACCTGCATCACTTGTTTCAGAGAGTTGTGAAATATAAAATATACAATTGCCTACTCACATTGTTTTGAAGTTCGGTTGGATGCATTCGTGCTTAGAACCCAAATTGCAGAATAAGGCTGCTGCAGGACAAAGAATCCAGAATTATAATACTTACTTACCAGTCTAAAGTTCCTTTATCATGTATATTTTCTGAAACAAGATCAATAAACAAAAGGCCAAAAAAACCATTGGGAAAAACCACCGTGAAGACAGACAGAGCATCCATTTTACTTGAGCTTGCAACTTCAATGGAGTACTTGTCATTCTGATTTGTTGTCATCTGCTTTCTCTGTTAAATTGTGAAGGAAGAAACATGATTGAAACACCCCTTAGCTCATTTGAATGACCTCTTCCTTATTCCCTAGAACAGTGTAACGTTTATGCTGAAGCAATTTTCTTGTACAAAAAAGTTCAAATGGTGCCAAGTTTCCCCTTCAGTTATCATTTTAATATTTTTTTTCTAAAAGATCATGTACAGTAGTTAGCTTTTGTATTAGAAAAAAATACTGGAAGAAATGCATAATATGGTATACTACCACAAACTTATCAAATATATGTGGTATACTACTACAAGCGATAATTTGATAGAAGAATAACAGCTTTCCATACCAAAAAGAAAGAACGATTTATTGCTATAGATAGGCCAAGCTCATTGTGTCTTGTATATATTGCATGCGTCTTGCTAACAAAGAAAAAGACAAAAATTAAAAAACAAAAAGCACTTGTCACCAATTTCAAAACACTTTTCATTGATTTAATTTTTTTTTTTTAAAAACATTTTCACCATTTCCAAAATGCGTTTTACACAAATTCCAATATTGAAGCTTGCCCCAAGGCACTTGTTAGCATTTGTCTATGAAGCACGGACACCTCTTCGCAGGTTGCGTACAAGTGTCCGACACATGTTGGACATGGACACACTCCAAACACGTGTCAGACACGCTGGAAAGAGTTGGACATGCTGGGACACTTTGGACACGCTGCGGACACTTTGGGACACGCTGAGAACACGCTAAGGACACGTTGAGGACATGCCGGGGACACTTTAGGAACACGCTGAGTATTATTTTTTTCAAAAAAAATGATAATTTTTAATTTGTTTGCTAAAACAGCATACCTAAAGTTGATAAATTTGATGAAAATTAAATATTTAACATAAAATACATATTAAATATTTAAAAATATTCATATAATAAAAATATAAATTTTGAACGTGTTCCCAACGTGTCGTGTCTTGCACTTTTTGAAAATTTACTTGTCTGTATCATGTCCGTGTCATGTCATGTGTCCATATCCGTGCTTCTTAGGCATTTGCCATGTTGTATAACATCCATCATTCATGTGGGTTATTTAATGTGTCTTGGTGGATTTTTACTTATCCAAGTCACTTTTCTGGCTGAATCACAGTTATCACCCCGTTCCAATTGTATTCTCTCAAGCGAAGGGATCATCTATATGGGATCCTGAAGGCAACAAATATCTTGATTTTCTCTCAGCCTACTCTGCAGTTAATCAGGTGAGATTTAGGGGCTGTTTATTTTAGTTAGTTTTATCTTCATATATACCTTGTCAGAGAACCAACATTGTACTAGATGTATCCTTTTGCCTGCCAGGGGAGGGTTTAACAAGTTCATCTTGGGAGGCCAATGTAAATAGGAAGGTAAAATTGAAAAAAGAAAAAGAAGATGAAGTGTTTTTAAAATTATTTGCATGCTAAAGACACTTACCTACTTGAGTAAGCTATACTGCCCAACTGAAAAAGTGGTTACATATGACATTGAAATTTCACTTAAATTGTCAAACTTTTACAATTTTCTGAGAAAATTGGCCATTGGACTCTAAAGCTTAAAATTTGTAGAAATTTTCAAATAAGTTAAATGACAATGAAGAAACTTGAATATATATATATATATATGTATGAGATTAAAAAAATGAGAAATACAGGTTTTTATTTTAAAACAAGTTTGCAGCTGAGGGGAAACTGAATTTGTAAGCCATGCCTACTAGATGCAATTCAAAGGTTATGATTGTGTGACCAAATTTTCAAATAAATAATCTCAACTATGAACTGTCAACCATTTAGACACCATGATTACATTTTGTGCATTCCCATTTTTTTTATTTTTTATTTTTATTTTTTTTAATGGGTATCCATAAAAAAGAAAGAAAGAAAGAAAATTCTTGTAAGGTTAGTCCAAAGATTGTAAAAAGCTTAAACAAGGTTTCTGTATCGATAAACACATAATACTCATGTTGTATTCTAAAGCAAAAGCACTAGCAAATCTTCTTACACAATAGCTGTGGCACTGGGGCCGTAGTTGTTGATTCATGATATGTGTTGTGTGTTGTTTTCATATCTCTCCATATCATGTACCTCGACTTATTTATTATGTACTTTTAAGATTTTTTTTTACCATCTTTAAAATAGGTAGAGAACAATTATATATACAAATCAGAAGTGTCTTGCAAGAGTGAAGGATTAAGTAGCATGATCACAACTTGCCATTGAATTGTTCTCTATAGTAATATTTTGATAAAAACTCTCTTTAGCGCTACTTTTTTCTTAAAATTTCCAAAAAAAAAAAAGAGAAGAAATTGAAGAGTGCTTGTGTCTTGTGTATCTGCATTTCATTTCCACATGCTTTATGGAGATGTATACATTTGCATCAGAGAGGGCAGCCTATGGGATAATATAGAAGTTTGTTGTAGGAAATGAATACTTCTGAAGGGATTATTTGTTCTTTACATCTGTCTTGATACCAACATGTTGATAGAGCCCAAAGGCGATGAAGAGATCCGTCTATAAACATTTATAGCCTACACTTGAATGGACTTATTGTATTGGTTCACTTCACTTTCTTTTTATTACATTGCATAGCAAACGGAGGTTAAGTTCTAACTTAATAGCTTCTTTCTGCAGGGACATTGTCATCCAAAGATTGTTAAAGCATTACTAGAACAGGCAGAAAGGCTCACTCTTAGCTCTAGAGCCTTCTATAATGAAAGATTTCCAATATTTGCAGAGCATCTAACCAGCATGTTTGGTTATGAAATGGTCTTACCAATGAATACTGGTGCCGAAGGTGTAGAAACAGCTCTGAAGTTGGCAAGGAAATGGGGCTATGAGAAGAAAAAGATTCCCAAAGATGAGGTACCAAATACGTCTTCATCCCGATGTCTTATGCTTAAAAACAGACAAAGAATATTCAAACTTTTTGGCTTGTGCTTCTTCAAATTTTTATTATTTATTTATTTATTTTGGAAAAGGAACTCACATACTTGATTTAGGTGTACTAGTTATGATAATCATTTATAGAAAATTCCTCGATCCGTCTCCTTCTTTATCTTAGACTCCAAATGTCTGTTTTAAACATACCTAAAATTTCTGGAGTCATGTTGGTGGAATCTTTAATTTCATTTAGCAATGTATTTTTTTCTTAATTTTCATCCCTTTCTACAAATTTCTGGGGTTCATTAATCCAGATAGCAGTCTGCATTTATTATTGCATTGTTTATTGGGTCTTGCAAAACAAGTGCCCATAGGGCACAAGGAAAGACAAAAAAGGAGAAGAACACGATGCGCCTTTATTAAATTGAATACACTTTTCATTGAAATCAATACGCATTTTAATCTTTTCACCTATTTTCAAGACACTTTTCACCCCAATTCCAATATTAAACAATGCCTCGAGGGCATTCGTTAGCATTTGCCTAGTTTATTAGGGGTATTTATTCATAAATCCCTCTTTATCTACTTATGTTCCACTTAGTCCAAATTATTTTCTTATATTCTAATAAGTCCTATGGTTGACATAGTTATCAAAATACCCCTAATAATAATAAGGTAAAGCGTGCATTAATGTTCACATTGATAGTGTGTATGTTTCATGATGTAAATATTCACACTGTAAAATTTATTTAATGTGAATGTTCATATCACCAAATTGCTGAGGGTACAAAAAATATTTGTAAGGGTAAAATTGTCCATAAAATATCTTAAATATGAGAATTAGGATTTGGTGGATCAAATGTCCAAAATAATAGGACTTATTGGAATACAATAATATCTTATGAAGTGATTGGGATACAAGTACTTGAAAGAGGATTTTCGAATAAATTTCCCGGTTTATTATGGCAATTACTTTTTTAACATTTTAGCATTTAATGTTTTTTGTTGGCTTGTTGCCAAGTAGTATAACATCCTATTTGCGCTTTCGATTTTTTTATTCAAATAATGTCTTTCGCAGGCTATCATTGTCTCGTGTTGTGGCTGCTTCCATGGTCGTACATTGGCTGTTATTTCTATGAGCTGTGACAATGAGGCTACTCGTGGTTTTGGGCCCTTGTTGCCTGGCCACCTCAAAGTTGATTTTGGTGATGAAGTTGCTCTTGAGAAGATATTTAAAGGTTTCTAAACATGGGAATTTTGTCAATTATGATGATATTTTTAAATTACAATGAAATATTTTGCTCACAACTTTGGGCCTAAGAAATCTTGTTCTTATGAAATGCCATGTTATGTCAACTTTGGCAGATTAGAATATGAATGATGCAAATATATTATTTCTCTTTCATGGTATGCAGAAAAAGGAGATCGGATAGCCGGATTTCTTTTTGAACCTATCCAAGGAGAGGCTGGGGTATGTGTCCTTGGTAACTTAAAATATGATCAATTTGGAAATGTGCTTTTATTTTATATTTTCATTCAATCAGAGCAACAAGCAATGATAGGATAATAATTTATATATTATAATTTTTCGCTTCTAGCCAAACTGGCTCATTATTTTAGGCTAAGTCGTAGCCATTTTCTTCAATCTCAATGGAACATATATATTATTTATTTTTATTTTTTGTGATATACTGTTTGAAACAAGGTCTATGGTAGTTTGGCCTGCCCTAGCTGGGGCATGGATGTATAATTTAGTGATTTATTTACTGTTTCTTAATTTCTTTACCTTTAGATAATTTTATTTCACATACTTTGTTGTTAGGTTATAATTCCTCCAGATGGTTATCTAAAAGCTGTCAGAGATCTTTGCTCAAAATACAATATTTTAATGGTTGCTGATGAGATACAAACTGGCTTGGCACGGACAGGAAGAATGCTAGCTTGCGATTGGGAAGAAGTTCGCCCAGATGTTGTAGTAAGGCCTTTTATCATATTAGATTCGTACACCCCACTATTTGATTTGAATGTGGCTAACTTTTAAGTTTTAACCCTGTTGTTTATATTATATCTGAAACCATATCAACCAAGTCAACTAAATCTATCGGTAAATATATTTTAACTCTTTGCTTTAGAAATTTTCTTTGGTAAGATATTTGCTTCATGAATTTGGTTTGCAATTTGGTTCTTCTCTGTAGATGTTTTATTTATTCCTTTTCTACATCTCAAGGCATGGATCTTTTCTCCAGCACCAAGAAAAGGGCTTAGTTACAGGAAGAGAGAAATTTCAATGTGGCCAAGATCTACATTTTTTATTTTATTTTCATTTCTGTCATCATGTTTCATAAATTTAAAGTCTAAAACACTTGTTTTCGAGAGGTTGTTGTGGCAAATATGTAACTTGATCCAAACCAAGTGATGAAATCAATCTAGGATGTAACTATCCTTAAGCTCAGCCCGCCAATTACGCTAGTATGAAGAACTTTCATTCTTTTATACATGTATTGACATCTCAAGAAAAATGCCTATTTTCTCAGTGTGTGTGAGGCAATATTCTTTCAAACTTTGTGTTACTAATACTATATGAAACCCTGGATTGTCTAAAGTATCTATGAATATTTTATTAACAGCTTAAATTTGCTTCCATGCTGTAAGATAACTTATTTTATGGTTACATTGTTCAGATACTAGGAAAAGCATTGGGTGGTGGAGTGGTTCCTGTAAGTGCAGTGCTTGCAGACAAAGATGTTATGCTTTGTATCAGACCAGGAGAGCATGGAAGGTCAGACTTATGACTGCCTCACTTTTATTGATAAATTTGTTGGGTCCATTTTCGTTTCCCTGCCACTGAATTTGAATGTTGCTTACTTAACAAATTACAGCGTTAAGCTACCAAGAGCTATCTTGATTTTGAAAAGTAGCCAAGTACCCAAACCCCAAATGCAGTTCAATCACAGATAGACTGGTTACAGCTTTTGTTTGAGTTAGGCGTGGTTATTATTGCATTTATTTTGGGTTATTACTGTGTCGTAAGCATAGTCAATTGGTACATAGAAACTTGGAATAAATCTTTGGGGTTCATTTCTCTGCATGATGTGTTTGACTGGTTCGATATGTCATGCCACCTTTGGAATATAACTTGGTGGGGGTGGTGGGCCAGGTCTAGTTTGGCTGCTGCACAATTGAATTTTGAGAAGTCATACGAAGAGAACTCAACAATTGAAAGAACGAGTTTATGGATGTCAAGCATACATTGTCTACTTCTCTTGTTGAAGGAAATAATGGCTATGATTTATAGCTAGAACATTACATTCTCCCAGTTAGCTAAAAAAGAACAAGCTGCTCTTTTTCTTTTAATTTTTTTAGTTTTCCATCTCAATTTTGATGCTAAGTAGGGTTAAAGTTCTGGTTCTAATACATGAATTCCCTATTGAATCGTGCTTTACTTGAACATCATGAATGGACTCATTTTAGCTTCTAATATAACTGTCACTTGATTCAAAACATTAGGCTTGTAGTAGCTCTTCCTGACCAACTCGAAACTGTTCAAATATGATATTTAGGAGATTATAAGGTTACACTGGTATGTTCATCAGCTTATGTAGGGAGGCTCTGTTTTCACATACAACTTTCTCTCAGTTCACATACCATTTTTCATTAGGAGGTTGATTTCTAAACAAAACTACATGGTTCCGAAATCAACTTCCAAATGAAAACCAATAGTTCCAAAATCAAACAGAGATATAGCTGAATCATAAAGTTTTGTTCGGAAGGTGATTTCTGAACTGAGATAATGTGTGTGTGAAATAGAAGCTCCCGTTTATGTCCGATCTGTATTATCTTTTTCACTCTGTCATTCATAATATTGCTACGAGGCTGCATTTTGCAGAAGCTGACATGGTTTTGATTTTACATTATTATCAGCACCTTTGGCGGAAATCCTTTGGCTAGTGCAGTTGCTGCTGCTTCACTAGAGGTTATCAGAGATGAGCGACTCGCTGAGAGGTATTAATCCTATTCCCTGGTGTTTAGGATAGCAAGACTTATGCTATAATCATCAGACACAGGGCACTTGGAAGAAACTAAATTCAGAGAGTGTTCATTTGATTTGATTTATTTTTTATTTTTAAGTTTGATTTTCTATTATATATACTATTAGTACATTGAGTGAACTCCCTAATATTTTAAATGTCAGTTCTTCTAGTTGGCGGAACAAAAAGTGAATTTCTTGTGCTTGGCATTCGTAAGTTGAGTTTTGTCATCAATTGTTTATCTTGTGCTTTACTCGATTTGCTTGGCTTATTATTGGGCTTGCAATGGTTGCGCTGGCATTTAGCTTCACTCAGCTCATTTAGCTAATGAGCTCTAGTCTAATGTTCAAGCTCGGCTCATTTCACTAATGAACAACACATGAATGAGCTTTTTAGCAAGCCACACCCATGCTGTCATGAACAACTTGGTTCATTTACAGCTCTACAGGCTTCAATCTATGAAAAGTTGTTAAACTACTTAGATACACTTAACCCCTTAAGTTTGTGATATTATCACTCCTAGCCCCGTCATCTGGGAATCTAACTTGGTCTTCCCTGTTCAATAATGTAAATTTGTTACTGTTGTCTCTCTCTCTCTCTCTCTTCACTACTTGTTACTCTGCAGATCGGCAAAAATGGGAGAGGAGTTTAGGCATCAGCTAAACAAGGTTCAACAGCAATTCCCTAATGTTATAAAGGAAGTGCGGGGAAAAGGCCTGTTTAATGCTGTGGAGCTTTGGTCTTCCCTGTTCAATAATGTAAATTTGTTACTGTTGTCTCTCTCTCTCTCTTCACTACTTGTTACTCTGCAGATCGGCAAAAATGGGAGAGGAGTTTAGGCATCAGCTAAACAAGGTTCAACAGCAATTCCCTAATGTTATAAAGGAAGTGCGGGGAAAAGGCCTGTTTAATGCTGTGGAGTTTAACACCAAGAATTTGTTCCCCGTCTCTGCTTATGATATATGTATAAAGTTGAAGGAAAGAGGAATTCTCGCAAAGCCTACTCACGATACCATTGTTCAACTCACTCCTCCCCTTTGCATGAGGTAAGGATCGATGCTTGATGAATGTTTTATGGTTTCAATATGTTAAAATCTTATATTTATTCACAGGATCATCATGGTTTAGTGACGTCTTCACCGGGCATACCCTGTTGACAACTGTGTCAATCCGAAGTTTTCAATTGTTCATGCCACTTTTGAAGTGATGCATTGAGCTCAACTCAGTGAAGCGTCATACTAAGTATTTGGATTGACCATGATAACCCTTTATGTTCTCCACTTTTCCCTGGATGTTGTAATTCCCCTTGCTCCCGAACACACAATTTAAAAAAAAAAGGGATTTTGACTTGGCGGCAAAAATGTGACTTTGTTTTATGGAACTAAATACTTCGCATAAAAAAATACATGACAAAAGGAGCAAATTTTAAATGAGAATGCTGTATTGCATGAGTGGCGTGTAGAGTTAGATTAAAAAGAATACATACGAGACCCGAGATAATACCAAATGAGGTAAATATAAGAGTTTGTTGACTTTGTTTTGCGCAGTGACTTTGTTTTACTGATATATATCTTGTGTGTTTCCAGTTTACCAGTACTGAATGTTTCCTAAATTTCTGAACTTGTCGTACACCCGTGCAGAATTCACATGCCAGAATAAAATAATGCTGAGACTTCTTCACTAAGTTTGGATGTTGTTTCTTATGATTATTTTTCGTTTCATGTTTATAAAAAATTTTAATTGTGAATAAAATTTTGTTGGGTACCAATTTCCGTTTTCAAAACATTAGACACATCATAAAATTTTTGTAACTAAAAAAAAAGGTTTTCATTTGTTTTGAAAATAAGTTTTCTTTTTCTCCTACCTCCTTTTTACTATCTCACCTCGGCGACTCCTACCTCCAACCATTGTTGTCAATTGCTTCTTCTAACCATTGTCACCGGCAGCTGCCTCCTATTTAAATGTCACTTGGCGCCAGTTGAATGTCACTTGGCCTCGATTTGAAACCTTGGCTAAGGCCTCAAAAATAATTGGGCCACCTCTTTGCATTGACGGGATAATGTCATAAATATATATTTTTTTATATTTGATTGTTCTAGACCTATATGAAAGTGTGAGTGGGTATGAGAGATAAAGGTACTAAGAGCATCTCCAATGGTGCATTTCTTTTTTCATCAAATTTGAGTAAAAAATGACCCATTTTATCAAATTTGATATCACTCGCTCCAACGGTGAACTTTCATTAAATTTGCGCCGGGACAACCGGTTGGTCGACCGGTCGGTCAACTGATTAGGTGAATTTTTTTTTTTTTTTTTGAATTTTTTGAACCTTTTCAGTGTTTTTGAACTTTTTGAACCTTTTAGCGGTTGACCGGTAAGGTAAATTTTTTTTTAAACTGTTTGAACCTTTTCTTGGAACTGTTTGAACCTTTTGGTGGTCGATCGGTTGGTCAACCGGCCGGGCAACCGGCTGGTTGACCGGTTGGTCTCCCCCAACGGTCACAAACAGTGTTTTGATGAAATCAGTATTCTGTCCTCAGTTTGATGAATGGTTTGGTGAAATCTCATTTTGATATCGATTTGGTGTAACCGTTGGAGCACCAAACAGTAACTTTTTCACCAAATTTTAAATTTAATGTTAACTTTGATGAACTGTTGGAGATGGTCTAACAAAGTGATATTGAATAATTTAGAGAGAGCTGGAAAGGGGTTTGATTTTATCCCTATCAAGTACATAGAGTTAGGAGTGTTCGCAGATCGGTTTTTAACGATTCGATTTATGATTTAGACCTGTTCGTATGTTTGTGGTTTAGGAAAAATTGAATCTATAACCGGCCACAATGTGAGTTGTGGTTTGTACGAATAGGGTTCGCAAATGTAAGGACAGTTTGCAAATTGAGTTTTTACCTTTAAAATTTTATTTTTTTTGCTTTTTTTTTTTAAATTTTTTAAATTTTTTTTTAAATATTTTTGATTGCAGGAGATTCAACACTATTCTCCATTAAAATTGGATTACAAAAAATTATGGTTATTTGGGATGATCTAAATAGGTATAATTTTTAACTTTTTACGAAAAGATATACAGAAAAGTAAAGAGGTGATATGACCCAAATAAAATGTACTTATCTAAGGGGTTGTTTGGGATGATCTAAATAAGTGTACTTTTTGACTTTTTATGAAATATGGGTTGGGTTTGAAGTGATGTGGTAGAAAGGTGATGTAATTTAAATAAGATGATTATTTAAATCACATTATCTCTCTACCACATCACTTCAAACCCAACCCACATTTCATGTTTTTTTGTAAAAAGTTAAAAAGTACACTTATTTAGATTATCCCAAACAATCCCTTAAATAGGATAATGATTTTTTGACTTTTTTGTGTTATGCCAAACTTAGCCTAAATTAGTGCACTTATATCCATCATGTCAAAAAACTAATATAGAAAGAAAAAAAAAAATCACATAACTAGATTTACAAAAATTAAAAAAAAAATCAATCAAATAATAAATATTTCAAGCAAGACAGTGTGCGATATTATTATAATGTTATAATATTAAAACTTACGAGTTTGATAATCAGATTAAAGTGAGTAAGAAAAGAGAAGATTAGGGTTATATATTTACAAAACTTATAAGAAAATCTGATAGTCCAGATTTAAAAAATAAAAACAAAAATTGTATACAAATGCTGGCGGGTGAGTGCGGATAAAACTCGCGAATCGCAACACATAACTAGATTTACAAAAATTAAAAAAAAAATCAATCAAATAATAAATATTTCAAACAAGACAGTGTGCGATATTATTATAATGTTATAATATTAAAACTTAAGTGTTTGATAATCAGATTAAAGTGAGTAAGAAAAGAGAAGATTAGGGTTATATATTTACAAAACTTATAAGAAAATCTGATAGTCCAGATTTAAAAAATAAAAACAAAAATTGTATACAAATGCTGGCGGGTGAGTGCGGATAAAACTCGCGAATCGCAAAATAGAAAAATCTTAAACCGCATCCGACCTTAATAATTTTGTGAAACCGTCCAAATAGGTGAGGGCGGTTCAGATTGGACGGTTTTCGCAGGTCAAATAACCCTATGCCCAACCCTATTTAGAGTAGGTTGAATTTTCACAGGTCACTTTTTAACTTTTAATCTCTTTTCAATTATATCACTTCTCTATTTTTTTTTATATGTATATATTTTTTAAAACAATAAAAAAAGTTAAAAAAATTAATTTTTAACTTACTAATATATTAGTTGATTCTATTTATAAGGTGATTTTTTTTTTTTTAACTTTTTACATGACATCTCTTTCGTCGTTTTTGTTTTTATACAGACATGGTTTTTGGAAGTTCAAAAATAAAACTTTTGATATTTCTTAAAATTGGTTATTTCTAATTGTCAAAATTAAATTTTTTAAAACAGATCATCAAAATAAAAACAAAAAATGGAAACATAACCCAGCATTACTGTAATCTATATTTGCTGTTTCATATACGCATTTACACAATTTATTTGCAATTTTACTAACTCTCAATTTCCAATCACATTATTTTGTTTCTTTGATTTATTTGCATTTGCCAAATAATAAAAGATATCATCCAGCCAAAAAAAAACAAAAAACAAAAATCAAAGTACAATTTAATTATCTAGTATATTTTTTAAGGAAATTTAGTCAAAATCCCTCTATTGGACTCTTATTTGGTGAAAAGGACAGTCCAATTTATTTTTCTTCATAAACCCCGCTAGGGAGAAAACACATAATTGAGTAAGGACAAAGTAAAATATTTTCCCCCCCTCATTTCTTAGACAATATTTCGAGAGTAACATGTTACTGTGAACCAGAGTAACATGTTACTGTCAAATAGAGTAACATGTTATTGTGAGACAGTGTAACATGTTACTGTTAAATAGAATAATTATCAAATAGAGTAACATGTTATTATGAGACAGAGTAACATGTTACTGTTATTGTTTACATTAATTTCAACGGTAATAATTTTAAAAAAAAAGAATTTCATAGTCAATATCGACCATATTTGATAGATCTTGATGAGAGAATTTTAAAAATATTAATTTTATTAAAAACTAACATCTACATTAAAAGTTATATTATTTTAAAATTTAATATTTTGATAATAGTAATATTTGTTGAACTTTTAAGGAATTTTTTTTGAATAGAGCAACATGTATATTAATTTTAATGGTAATAATTTTCTTTTAAAAAAAATTTCACAATAAATATAGATCTTATTTGATAAATCTTGATGAGAGAATTTTAAAACTATTAATTTTATTAAAAATTAATATTTACATTAAAAATTATATTATTTTAAAATTTAATATTTTGATAACAGTAATATATGTTGAACACGTATTCTTAATACATTAAAATTTTATTACAAAGAAGTTTTTGATTAAATCTCCTTAGTTTTTTAAAGTGTTGAGGAGGGACACGTGAGTCTACAATGCGCATTGCAAGTTATATAAATGAATATAAACAATAAATGCTGTCATCGTCTTTGATCCTTCTAACTGGCGCGTAATTAGGGGTGTGATTTGGGCAAGTTTGGGTGGATTTGGAGCTTGTTTAAATTCAATTTAAATTGTATTGGGATTTGTTTAGATTTGTCTAAGCTTGAATTGTAACACGAGATTGCTTGTCTAAGCCTGACTCGAGTTAAACTCGAGTTGTCCGAATTGTACATAAATTTTAGTGTTTTTTTTTTTTTTTTTTGTGTGCGCGCGCGCGTGCGCAGTTGCATTACTAAATTATTAAAATTTGACTTTATTTACATTTTTTTATTATAGAAAATCATTAATACCACTAAAACAAATAATTTATATAATGTAAGAGAGATACTACTATAGTAGTCTTTATAATTTATAAGTGAAAATAATAAAAATAAGATTTTATGTTATTTGTATATATAATATATATTCAATATGATTTAATAATTTAAATTATTTTAATATCATGTAATGACTAATAATTTATATGTATATTAATATTTTTATATATGTATATATGTATAATTTAGGTTTCGAGTTGCTCAGATTGTTTGACGTTTTTGCCCGAACTCGTCTAAATTTAATTCGGACTTCTGAACTTTTGTCCAAACCGGTACCAAATTTAAAAATATCTTGTCTAAATCTTAAAAAAATTCGAGCTAGGTTCGGATTGCTCGGATTGAGCCCACCCAAATTGCACCTCTACTCCTAACGCTTCTAAATAAGTCTACTTTTGGCAATACTGTTAAAAGTTAATTTTTATTTTTTTAAAAAAAATTAAAAAGTCAATTTTTAACTATCTTCTCAAAACAACTCTAAATGTTACCATATAAGCTAAATAAATGCTCCTGTCATCTTCAAACTCCCTAACGTCTCTAAACGCTCGTTTGGGATGTAGGGTAGGGTAGGGTTGGATTGAATTAAAATAATCATAAAAAGATAAAATAAAATTTTTAATCCTCAAATTAAAAGTTGTCACATTAATCTATAATTATTTTATTTTTTTATTATAAAAATTAAAAAACTCATCCCAATCAATATTATTTTAATCCTAAATTCAAATAACTAAAAAATCAAAAAAAAGTTAAGAAAAATGTTTGGTGGTTTGAATTTGTGTGGCCCAAATAGTTCAAATATGTCAAAACGATGTCATTTTACACTAAAAACAATGTCGTTTTAAGACATTCAAGTCATTCGAGCCAAGAAAATTTAAACCACCTCACATTATTAAAAAATTAAAAAACCAACTTACATTCTAAGCCTCCGTTTGGGAAGTGGGTTGGCTTTTTGGCTTTTTGACTTTTTTGGCTATTTTAGCCTAGGCTAAAAAGCTTGGTTTGGGAAGAGCTTTTTGGCTTTTTGGCTTTTTTGACTTTTTTTGTGAGAGAAGAGTGTAATGATTATGGGTTAGATGTGATGTTTTGTTTGTTATGGCTAAAATAGCCTATTTTGTCTTTTGTGGCTATTTTAGCCCCAACCTTGCTTGCCAAACGGACCCTTAAACGAAATATAAATAAATGTTGCCTTCTTCAAATAAATGTTGTCATTTTCTTGGTGTCTGACGAGAGTGGAACCTCTTAAGATCTCTTAAGAAATGCAAGTAGAGTTATGTTAGGAATTTTAAATATTTTATTAAATATTTTATCAAATTTTTTATATGGGTGTGTGATCCACACACATGTAAATTTATCTGAATCTCACCTCATATAAGAAATTTGATAAAATATTTGGTTGAATGTTTGATACATGGCTTCGTTTGGGAAGTGGGTTAGTTTTTTGACTTTTTGATTTTTTTTGCCTGGGCTAAAAAGTTTGGTTTGGGAAGAGTTTTTTGATTTTTTGATTTTTTTTTGTGAGAAAAGAGTGTAATGATTATGAGTTGAATATGATGTTTTATTTGTTATAACTAAAATAACTTATTTTATCTTTTATGGCTAAAATAATAAAAAAAAGTCCATAAACCATCTTCCCAAAGGAAGCCACTTGAAACCTTGTCCCCAAAAAAAAAAAAGTTTAATTACATTAACATCCTCTCAGTTGTTAACAAATATTATTTTACTCTTTCTATCAATTAGTACTTTTTGAACCCAAAAAATAAAAAATAAAAAAAACCCCTTCTCTCTCTCTCTCTCTGATTGCCTCGAACTCAAGCTCTGCTTCGATCAATACCAGTTCAAAGGTATGTGTATCTTCTCTTGTGATTCCATTCTTTTGTGACTTTGAATTTGATAATAATCGTATGCTTATCCCCAATCATCACTTAATCATGGTTATTGTGCTATCTTTCAGTGTTTTACAATCTCTTATAGCAATTCAGTTGGTTAGAAATGATTTACTTGATTCAAATTTTGATCTTTTAACTTTTGATTTGTACTCGTTTGAATTCTGTATCTGTCTGTATATGCATTTCGGTTGTTGTATTCGAAATTGGGCTTAGGGTTTTACATGGGTTCTCAGTGCTTTTGTGTGTTGTTGATTAATTAACTAAGTTTTTGTTGTCTTAATGCATTGTTTGAATTTGAGATTTGTTGAGGGAAATTTGCTTGTACTTGTTCAATTTTATGTGGGTAACCAAACAAAAATATGATTTTTAAATTTTTTTTTTTTAGGAATGTCTATTTGTTTTCTTCTCATTTTCTTAGTCCAACCAAACAAAAGCAAAGAATTTAGATCATTTTTTTCATTTTCCTTTCCTTTTTGCTTTCTTTCTCTTTTTCCCTCAACAAATTCTAAAACCAAACAGAGCATAAACGAGTAAGAGAGAAAAGAAGAGATATTGCTATGAAAAGGGTTGCTATATTTGTCAAGGAACTAAATCCTTTTGGAAGTGTGTATGTGTTCTTTTAGATCTTAATTTGGTGCAGAAAAATTGCTCATATCCTTCTCTCTCTCTCTCTCTCTCTGTTATCTTCCATCTTTGCTCTCTCTCCATCTCTATCTCCACCCGATCATCCCTGCCTCTCTATATCTCTCGCGCAGATCCCTCCATCTATATCTCGATGATCGTCCCTGCCTCTCTCTTCCCTTTGTTTTATCTCTCTCTAAACCCTAACAAAACAAGCAGATGAACAAGACGAAGCTTGAGATTCTTGAAATCGTCTGAAATTTAGCACGCATCTTGAAGTCCAGGTATTTATTTTTCTAAAATTGTCTTTCTGACGATGGAGAATTGCTTAAAAGTTTATTCAAACTGCTTGAAATTTGTTTGATATTGGTTGAAATATGTTTGAAATTGCTTGATTATTGTTGTTGTTGTTTTTAGTTTGTTTGTCTTTTTGGTGAATTGTTAAAAAATATTATTTTCTGTTTGGGGGAGTTTTTGCTGGGAAAGGATGAGGGAAGGAGGGAAGGAAAACAGTCGGGGATGATGATCTGGCAGATTTGGCATCGCCAAAGCTTATGCTAAATTTGGCACAAGCTTTGGTGTTGCTATAATTTGGCAGCCAATATAGCATGCCACTGGAGACCTGTTTTTGCCAACTGTTGCCAAAATTTGGCAATGGCAGCGCACTGTGGATGCTCTAAGTCACATTATAAAGCTTTCTTTTATTTTCTTTTCTCACATTTGTTTCCCAAACAAGAGGATAGAATAACCCACTATTTTGTCTTCATATCTCTCCTAAATTATTCAAACAAGAAGAGATCACCATCCTTTCTTTTCGCCTATCCTAGTTTGGCAAATGCATTAGCATGCTCTTCACTAAGGATCTGTCTTTCTCAACCAAAATGACTCAGATACAGCTCATTTCTTAACATTCAAATCCCTTGCGTTGTTTACTACCCTTTTTACCCTTTGTCACTGGCACAAAGAAAAAATGAAGACGAAGAAGAAATAGAGAGTAGAAACTTATTGTTAATTACATTTATGCATCATTTGTGTATATTGTTTTCTAATTTTTCTTATAGGGTTTCAACAGTTTGTTAAAGATCACTTTGAAGGTAAAGGCTCCCAAGATGGACAACATTGTAGATGCTTTAAATAATGCATACCAGGAGTTTGTTGCTGCAGCAGCTGGCGTGCTTGAAGCTAAGGAGAGTTCCGGTGGCCAGAAAACAGCAGTTACTGTTGCTGCTCTAGAAAACTTTAAGCAGTGTCAAGAACTGTTCAGAGTGGCTTGTGATCAAGCTGAAGAGTCTATCCTAGTTTGGCAAATGCATTAGCATGCTCTTCACTAAGGATCTGTCTTTCTCAACCAAAATGACTCAGATACAGCTCATTTCTTATCATTCAAATCCCTTGCGTTGTTTACTACCCTTTTTACCCTTTGTCACTGGCACAAAGAAAAAATGAAGACGAAGAAGAAATAGAGAGTAGAAACTTATTGTTAATTACATTTATGCATCATTTGTGTATATTATTTTCTAATTTTTCTTATAGGGTTTCAACAGTTTGTTAAAGATCACTTTGAAGGTCAAGGCTCCCAAGATGGACAACATTGTAGATGCTTTAAATAATGCATACCAGGAGTTTGTTGCTGCAGCAGCTGGTGTGCTTGAAGCTAAGGAGAGTTCCGGTGGCCAGAAAACAGCAGTTACTGTTGCTGCTCTAGAAAACTTTAAGCAGTGTCAAGAACTGTTCAGAGTGGCTTGTGATCAAGCTGAAGAGTTCGTGGAGTCTGTGAAGCAAAGGGTAGGGTCGGAGTGCCTGGTTGATGAAGCCACTGGCTCGGTGACTGGAAAGCCAGGGCAGGCTGTCACAACTGGTCTTCCGCCTATCAGTGCAGTTAGGTTGGAACAGATGAGTAAAGCGGTCCGGTGGCTGGTGATTGAACTTCAGCAGGGTTCTGGAACTGCTGGAGGTTCATCGCATCCCCATCCTTCTGCACCTTTTGATGCTAGATTTTCTGAGGATGCAGCTCAATAGGTATACAGACAATTAAGGTCGTCTTTGCTCTAGATCTTTTTGGAAGTAGATGATATTTTTATTGCATCATTGCAAGATATTATAGTTACGAGTCACGACCATACATTTTGTGCAAACACTTGCATTGTCAAAGTGCATTTAATTTTGAAGTGAACAAGGGTTAACTGCTATTGCTTGTTTCTGAATTTCTTGATGTTTCTAATTTTCTGTTTAACTCTGGCGTGCTGCATTATCCATTACATATTTTTTTTAGATCTTTCTTACGTTTTTTGCATGCCTTTTTATGGTTCTTGTTTGTGTTGGGGTTTTCTTACTATTTGATTTTCATGGTGCTATGATTTAAAGTGCTGATCCTCTGTATTGTTAATTTTATCATTCACAATATACTTTTTTTGCCAATTCTAATTTCCCTTTTTGTTTTCAACCTCTTTACGTATATGGTGAAAAGGTCAACCAGGCTCGTTAGATATTGGTTTTAAAATGCTATTACCCACTGTCATGACCCATTATTGGGCTTATAAATGAGGGGTGCTGGGAGTGTGTAGCGGATTTGGATTTGAGTGCTTTAACCTAAGAAGCACGGGTATGAACACAGACATGGTGAGAGATTAAGTATCTTTGAGATAGTCACTTGTTGATGTTGTCTGGGTCTGGTCCTTGGTCAACACTGGGTGTGATCATGATGGAATCATCCCTCATTGAGGTTGTCGACCAAGTACCTTGGAGATTGTTGCTCTTTGTGGTGGAATCAATTGATGACCAGTGATTTAGGGCGGCAAGATCAACACTTCTCTTCTCCTTGAGATCGTCTCTTCTTTGTTTGATTTAGAGCAAGATTGATCGATCGATCAAATGGCTGTATGTAGTTACAATTTGACTCACCCTGTCCCAGTTGTTTCTGAATTTGGACACGTGTGTCCATGTCACATGGGTGTCCGGTGAAAAGCAAATTAATTAAATAAATAAACACACCAGTGTGTTTGTTTCCTATTGAAGATCTATCAGATTATCCACCATTCAATTTCTTCTCCCCCAGTTTCTTTTTCTTTGTATTTCCACAAATTGGCTGTCAGTATTCTTACCAAGCTGCTATGGTGTTTTGTGGTTTTGCTACAAGCATTGACAATCATCATACCAAATGTGACATATTGTGATTCTAGTAAACTCCTGCTGTATACATGAAAATTTTTCTCCTTCTTTTTACTGGGTAAATTTTAACTGCATTTTTTTTTTTCGGTTTTTTGATTTGATGCATTTCATATTGTGCAGATATCTGTTTCCAGGGCAAGAGGATGCTGGGGGAATTGTTCATGGATGGTCTGTAAAATGAAGGTTGTAGGTCCCACGTAAACTTAAGCTTGCGAGTCCCATCTTTTGAGCTTAACAGACAGTTCAGTTCAGTTCAGTCATTTTGTTTGTTTTAATTGTTGAAGATAAACTAATGTATAATGGGAGTTTTTTTGAGCCAACTTATAACTTTTAGCTTTCGAAAAGTTATTTTGGACTGTTTCGTTAAACTTATTTCAAACAATTTCTGATTCTAACAATTTATTTTAATTCAAAAACGTTGATTCTGAGAAACTATTCAACCCTTACTTCTGATTATCAATTTCTGCTGTGGACATGTTAATTTACGGTTATACTCTTAAATTTTTTTTTAAAAAAAAAAAAAATAGAAAAAGACTCAAATGGATTATAGATTATTATTATTATTATTATTTTTTATGAGAAATGTACACAAGTAGTGAATAATAAAAAATAAAAGTTAATTGAAAAAGTTATTTCACAGTTTATTTAACAAATATTATTTAGCAATTTAAATCTATAATTCAACAATTACACCAAACAGATTAACAATTTATGATTAAAGTCATAATGTATAATTTATTAAGTTATAATTTATAATTTATTTTAACAGTTACACTAAATAGGGCTAATGTGGTGGTGGCAGTTTTAAGAGGTCAGGAAATGCAGCTCAACTGGTTTATCAAAATTATGGATACCATTATTTTGAAGGGTTTAGAAAGGGTCTTCTTCTGTTTTTTCTAATCCCAATATTTTGAAACCAATGGTGCAATTGTTAGGTTATTGATCAATGGATTGCCATAATCATCTACCATCCAAACAAATCAAAGTAAAAATGAGAGATTTTAACATTTTGCAGCCAATGGTGCAATTGTTAGGTTATTGATCATTGGATTGTCATAATCATCTACCATCCAAACAAATCAAAGTAAAAATGAGAGATTTTAATGATAATATTGCTTTGTCTGGCGGTTTTAAGCATTTTTTTTAATTTTATTTATATAAAAATCTTTAATCAATTTTAAAATTATATTTTTTTGGTGTTCTAAATTTTTTTTGATCCACATACAACACACCTCTCCTTCCTTTGTTTTTAATTGCAAATTTGGGGTATGGTTTTTGTGGCGAGCAAATGAATTACTGCCTCAAATTGAAGTTGGGTTTGGGACACATATTTCAATACCAGCTCTTTTATGTACCATGAAAATAAGATTATAAAAATTATTATCAAAACACAAATCAAGTAGGGTTCACCTCACTTTAAAATATATATAATAAAAAAAAATCAATATTGATGACAACTTTTAAGACAACATTTTTGTTATCTCAAATTTTTTGCTTCAACAAAGAGGCACACGCTTTTTTAGTGTAAAATTAAATAAGGTAGGGCTTGAATCAAGTTTTATACGTACACAAATGTAAATGTTTTTCATTTTTTTTTCTTCTATATATATATTTTAAATATTTTAAACATATAATATAAGTTTTGAGGGAGACATGGTGGAGACATAATAATGCTAAAACTTTAGGTTGTCATGCAATTATTTATTAAGAGACAAATTCTCTTTACAATTTCAAGAATATTTTAGACACTAGGAAGATCTCAAAGGGTTAATCTCAAAATAGTAATGTTAAAAATTAAGTTTTAGTATCTTATAGTGTTAAAAATATTTTAATTTGACAATTCTATTCTAATGGTGCAAATAATCTTTCTTTTATTATTTTTTTTAAAATTTAAATTTCCTAACAAAGTGTCAAATGAAATGTCATTGTCAGTCCATTATGAGAGGGGAAAAAAAAAAGCTTTGTCAACTGTGGATAATTAATTGTTAAATTTTGTGTCAAATTTAGTACAAATTTTTCTCATGCTGCTAAATTTGACAAGAGAAATTGTAGACTAATAGGAAAAAATTATTAGATACTCCTGAAATACAATATGACATTATCTATATGCAGGGACGGAGCCGGGATTTCATCACCGGAGGGACCAAAAGACAAATAAATTTTTTGTACTATATACATATGCACGCATGTATGTACAATATGATATATAAATTATGTATATACACAAAAAAAATTCGAATACTACAGAAGTAATTTCTAATAGGATAAAGTTTTTTTGGTACAAAATAAAAAGAGAGCGCAAGGTAAGAGAAAAATGAGATATATATTTTTTATATTGGGGTCATTTTATGTATAAAATGAAATATATTTTTAAAATACTATGACAAATCATATTTTTCACAGAAACTGGGAGCCATGGCCCCCCATAGTCTTCTCCTAGTTCCGTCCCTGTCTATATGGTATCCCTGAGCAATGAGAAACAATAATATATACTAAATGCAAGTCATGTTTCACCGTAAAATTTTCTATTACGTGATTGGTTTAGAGTCCTATGTAAACAATGTTACATGATGTTTTAGAACTACTAAATAATCACTTGATTAGGGATGATTTTTAGAAAAATATTGTCAAATTTTAACTTAGGCAGATATTTTAGTGCATTTATTGATAAAGGAGGTGGTATTTTGTGTCATGCTAATGTATTACTCCCAAACTCTCACAAATATGTGGATCTCATAAAAATGAATTCCACTTACTTGCAACAGAATAGAATATATTAAAATGATGTAGCCGTTATATAAAATACTTTTCATCAGAGAAAGATGTTCCTATTTGTTTAATAAATTGGGAGATAGTCTTGGCATTATTCAAGGACCTTAGCTGGGATTCATCATTGTATTGTGACAAAATAATAATAATAATAATAATAATAATAATTTGGCAATGGCTTAGCTGTTTTGTATGGCTAATTAGCACATCTGAAGATGACTTGTTGCTCATATAAATCAGACTTGTAATATAATATTGGTTTATGTCATGCCAAATTCTTGGTTAACAACTTCGCTTAGAATGTTAAGGTAATCAATAAACTTATAATCTATGGATTCAAATTATTGTTTGTGTGTTCCAAAAACACTGTCAAAAAACTGGCATGGGATGTGGACTTGATCTTGTGAAATGGCGACTTGATACCTTGTTGTGACTATGACTTATGGCAACACTAGAAAATAACATATAGAATAGAAGACTGCATATATTGTGTGTTATATTCCGGTTATCATTTGATCCAAAGACCTGTGGTCTATTCTAGACTCACGAGGACGGATAGATTTTTACTCAACTTGAATGAGATTTGCAGTAGGCCTAGGGTTTGAAGCTTGGCCCGTCAATCGGCCTATGAGAGGCACCCTTTTTGGTCCACCCAACAAAAAATATGAAAAAGGAAGGGAGGAAATCCAAAAATATAAGCATTAATCTTAGTTCATTGGGTTAAACCTGCAAATCAGTCCATGGAACCCGTAAGAAGTCGCTCGTTAGCTCAACCCACAATTGGGCAGGGCTTAGGCCTACAATTTTGGTTCGTGGGCTAGCTTATATAAAATAAAGCCTGTTAGTTAGGTCGAGATTATTAGTTTAAGCAGTAATTATTAGTTTTGATATACATAGTAAAAAGTATATAATTATGTGTGAAAATATTAAAAAAAAAATTAAAAATTATTTAGGAATGTTTAAAAATACATTGAAATTTTCAATATTTTCATATTCTCTCTACTTATGATGTATACACAAAATACGCACATTATTTCATCCAAAAGTCATGAATGACAATGTTAACATTCAAATGCTACAATCTTCCTAAGCTTTTGTGAGAATTACGATTAAGTGAAAAATAGAATGAACAATTACAAAGTAATGAAAGGCTAAATAGTTCTATGGTGTAAGCAAAAGTTATAGTCTAGAACACATCTCTCACTTGAATTTGTTTATGCCTTCATGAATTTTTAATTATTTTTCCTATTTTCTATTGATTTATAATTCCCCTACATTTTTCTGCCTCAAGACATAATTAGATATGATTACATGGAGACAAAAATTCCTAAGATTCAATACTATGGATGGGTTTTCTTCTAACAACGCATTGGCTAGCTTAGTGTCTTTGTTCATCCACTTAATTTGCTTTTTGTCACTTCACTCAATTAATAATTAATTACAAACCCATGCGACATGGTAGTTAGTAGGTGCACGCATCAAATTATCCATGTTATCAATTGATGAGACAAAGTATTCATGATCTCATTCTCATTGAAGGCTATAAATTTGTGGGAAAAATAAGTGTACCTTCCAAAATAGATTGGGAACCATGACCTAGAGTGGTTATGTGGATCATATTTTGGTGGCAAACAATTGGTCATGGGCACTAGCTAGTTGTTCCAAGGACAATTTACCCTTTGGATTCCCATGCCATGGCAAAGTTTTGCATTCTTTGCCTTGCTTGACAAAGATTTTTTATTGCCTAAATGTTTGTACCATTAACTAAATTCTTTTTGTCGATACTTATTTAGTCAAGTAATATTTAATTAGCAGTATTAGTACCTCAATTGTAGAGGTTTTGAGTTTAAAACCTGTTAAGAAAAAGATAAGTGGCCAGTTTAATATATTTCTCGCCATATTAGTATTACAAAAAGAAAATTTTAATTCCTTTCCACTAATGTACTTTGTTTATGTATTAGTCCATCTTCTCTCTTGCATTCATTTAACTAGGGAGGGGAGAGAGAGAGTGTGTGAGTATGCGTGGGGTATGAAATGGGACTTTGTCTTCCTTTGGTTTGCTTTAAAAAAGGATATGGGTTTGGTATATTTGTCTTTATACTTCAAATTTAAAAAGAAAATAATTTACAAATAAAATTTTTACGTGGAAAAAAACACGCACTGCATAACGTGACAATAATATATTCAAAATAATAAATCATTTTGACAGATTTTTTTGTTTGAAATGAAGGGATATAAATATGTCACATTATTTTATGTTTTTTTATTTTTATTTTTATTGGTATAACTTCGCTCCATTGCTAAATTCCTTTCTTGTCAAACTAGGTGTGTGAGCCGAGGAATTTTTTTGCACAATTGGCAAACAAGACATCTAAGCCCATCCATCCTAAAGCCCAGACCCAATCGGGCCCATTGGGTTTGTCGAGATCTTAACACCATATAGCACATTCGCCGATCAAGAGGTATGTTGATAGAATCAACTTATATCAGTGTCGAGAGCTATAGTGGGCTTAGGTTGTCCCTTTCCGAAGGTGTAGTGGGAAACTAGGCCTTGATATTCAAGTAATGATGACAAACAAGTCAAGTTACGTAAGAAATATCTACACCAAATAACTATAAAAGGAAGTAGAGTTGAACAAGAAAGGTATGCATTATAAACCCACAAAAACTTTCTCTTTCACTATTGACGCACCCCTTCTCATACATGAGCTAACTTACCCGTCGGAGTGTTAATTCCGGCACCCCCGACCGAAATGTTTCTTGTTTCAGGCATCGAAATGAGGATCAAGTGGAGGACTATTTGGGCAGAAGGAATATTTTAGAACCACTCCTCACACTAGGCATGACAAATTGGCAATGGGAAATAGTGAACATTTCTTTATCCTAAATCAACCATCTAAAAAAAAAGGAAGAAGCTTACATTCACAATTAATACCTGCTTTATTCCTTCACTATGAAGTGGAAAAGTAGGAAAGTGAAGAAAAAAAAATTGTTGTATGCTGTGGTCTTAGGTTCGAGTTAATAGAGTGGTATCAACTTATTTTAATCTAACCCTATTGACTTGCTCCCACCTTTCCATGTGACAAAAAACAATATTAAAAATGAAAAACATTTTGCTTTCTAATATGAGAAATGCGAAATTTACCATTAGAAGAGGACTAAAACATGTCAAGACTTTCGAACTATATATCCTATGAAATTGAGATATTGCCATATATGTAAAATTAATAGATAACTCCCACATGAAAGAAACAAAATTGAGAATACATTTCATATTTTTTTAGTAATAATATATAAATTCATAAATTTGTCAAAATTTTCTTTACTTATTAATGTGGGACCTATCATATTATTGAAGTCATTCCTGTTTCTGATTTCAAAATTTCATTAATGCATGACATATCAGTTAGTAAAATATTTTCCTATTTTAAAAAAAATTGTCTCACCTTCCTATACGTTTAGCGTGACAACTCTTATTTCATTATGAGTAATGCTATCTAAACAAAAATATTTTATATTATTTTTCTTTACTAACTATTGTAATACTTATCATATTATTGCAGTGAGTTCTATTTCAATTTCCAAAAGTTCATTACTACATGCGCATTAGTAATGAAGAAAAATTTATCACTAGTTTACATGACGTTTTTTCTTTCATTATTCAAAAATGTAATTAACATTACATAAAACTAATGATTTTATTGTGTTATTATTGACCACGTTGAGTTAAAGGGTGTGTGTACCATAAAATTAGTCATTTTAATAGATAGAAACACAAGAATTGCATCTGATCATTGCCCAATTGTGCTCCTGGAGGATGAGACGAATTAGGGGCCTAAACCTTTCAAGTTTTTGAATGCTTGGCTTTTGCATCCTAACTTTGCTTCTTTTGTGGGAAAAACTTGGCAAGAATCTCAGTGTTTTGGGACTGCGGGTTTTGTTTTACACAGAAAACTGTATAATCTAAAGCTGGCATTGAAAAAATGGAGTAAAAGAGGTGTCTGGTAATGTAGCATCCAAACTCCAAGAGTCTGAATATGAACTTAATAAGCTGGATCTGATAGCTGAATCCAGGCCTTGGGAGAAGGAGGAATTGAAGTTGAAAAGAGAGACCAAAAATGAAATGTGGAGGCTGAGCAGGAAGTTGGAATGGGAATGGCTTCAAAAATCAAGGCTTGACTCAAATCTGAAAGGAGATAGAAACACAAGATACTTCCATGTCATGGCTACCAATAGGCAAAATAGGAACACACTCAACTCCATCACAAAAGGAGACTTAGTTTTTGAAGAGCCAAGTCAAGTTAAGAATGAGGTGTGGACCCATTTTTCAAAGCATTTCAGAGAAGACTGGATGAATAGACCAGTGCATGTTGGGGATTTCAAAAGTGTAAGGCTCAGTGACTCATTCCATAGGCTTGAAGAAGAATTTACTGAAGTGGAGGTAAGGGCAGCTATTAGAGAATGTAATGGGAATTAAGTTCCAGGGCCAGATGGATTCAACCTAATGTTTTTCCAAAAAAATTGGGAGGTTATTAAGGAGGAAATACTCAACTTTATAAAGGAATTTCATGCAAATGGCAGATTAACTATAGGTCTGAATAGCACTTTTATCTCTCTCATCCCAAAGAAAGAGAAAGCTTTCAATCTGAATATTAGCTTGGTTAGGTCAATTTACAAACTTCTCTCGAAAGTCCTTGCTTCTAGACTAAAAAGAGTCTTGCCCATGATTATTGGAGATACACAGTCAGCTTTTTTGGGAGAAAGGAATATACTTGATGGTATCCTGATTGCAAATGAGGTGATGGATAGTTGGACCAAATCTAACAAAAAAGGACAGTTGCTTAAGTTAGACTTTGAAAAGGCTTTTGACTCCATTAATTGGGATTTCCTATTCTCAATGTTAGCAAATTTTGAGTTTGGTACAAATTGGATTTCATGGATGAAAGAATGTGTCTCTACTGCAAGACTCTCAGTCCTTGTTAATGGCTCACTAACCATGGAGTTTAAACCTCAAAAGGGCCTTAGGCAAGGTGATCCCCTATCACCTTTCCTTTTTATTTTGGTTGCAGAAGCACTGAATATACTTCTGCAGAGAGCTTGAGAACTGAGATTGCTATATGGGGTTGTCATTGGAACCAATCGTGTAGTGATCTCTCATTTACAATTTGCAGATGACTCTTTACCATTCTGTGAAGCTGAGCTATTGGAAGTACTCTGTTTGAAATGGATCCTTAGGTGCTTTGAAATAGCTTTAGGGCTTAAAATCAACTATCATAAAAGTGTGCTTTGTGGGATTGGTCTTTCTGATCCGGTCCTTCATGATTTTGCCTCCTTATTTAACTGCAAGACTCAAAGATTGCCACTAAATTATCTAGGCTTGCCTTTGGGCGCTAGCCCTAGGAGAAAGAAGACTTGGAAACCTATTATTGACAAGTTTAAAATGAGACTTGTTGGCTGGAAAAGGAGATTCCTATCTTTTGCAGGAAGATTAACATTGGTGAAGGCAGTGTTGTCTAGTCTACCAGTGTATTTTTTGTCTTTGTTCAAACTACCTGAAGGAATAGCAAAGGAGATAGATAAAATTCAAGCTTCGTTCTTATGGGGTGGATCAAATTTGAAGAGGAAAATTCATCTAGTGAAATGGTCAGAAGTAACTAAAAGTATCAAGCAAGGTGGGCTAGGCACAAGAAGAATTAGAGATATGAATGTGTGCTTGCTTCTCAAATGGTGGTGGAGATTCGCTTCTAAACATGATTCATTATAGAAGAGGGTCCTCTGTAGTAAATACAGATTTCAAGGAGGGGAATGGTTACCACATCTCAACAAAGGCATTATTTTCTCTAGAATTTGGAGTGATATTGTAACAGTAGTTGAGCAGAAAGTATCTTTACTCAAGTACTATGTCCCACTTACAATTAAGAGTGGACAATGGTTGTAGAATAAGGTTCTAGCATGACAAATAGTGTGGAGATATCTCCCTTAAAGATGAGTTCCCAAGACTATTTCGGTTGTCTATTGATAAAGAGGGATCAATTAAGGACCTAGTGGAGATCATATGCAACTCTTACTATTGGCTACGTACTTTTAGAAGACCCCTATTTGAATGGGAAAAATAGGAGCTACTCAGACTCAATGGAATGTTACGAGAAGCACCTGCATTTAATCTGCAGGTCAATGATATGGCAATATGGTCTGCTGTTAATCCAGGTCAGTCCCTTGTATCTGTTTTCTATAATCATACCAATCTTGCTTTTGAGGGCAATGCCAGCTTCAGTAGAAGGGTGTGGATAAATTATCTCCCTTCCAAAGTGCAATTCTTTGGTTGGCTTGCATGGAAAAATAAGGTTAAAACATTAGTATTTTTATAGCAGCTTGGAATTTTGGGTAGGGACTCATCTACCCTGTGTACTTTCTACAAGGCTCAGCAAGAATCAATTGAACATGTGTTAATTTTCTACCCTATGGTGTGGAGAGTTTGGTCTAGGCTATTGCAGTGATGAGGGTTAGTTTGGGTGGTTCTTGGGTTTGTACAAGGACTGATTCAGTGGTGGGCAGGGTACTGACGTAGAACATAAGAAAGGAGGATTTGGAGTACAATACCTCTGGTGGCTCTTTGGTCCTTGTAGAAACACAGAAATTGAGTGTCTCTTCCAAGGCTCTCAACCTTAGCTTCAGGAGTTTCAAGAGCTCATTATCACCAGGTTAGCTTTCTGGTATAAAGCTTCATCCAAGAGGTCTCAATTCTCAATTAATGACTTCCTCTTCAACATTCCATAAATCAGGTATTGCTTAAGTGGAAGGGCCTAGGGGGTATGTTATGTATTAAGAAAGTTCAGTTGCTGTCAATGTTGGTTTGGGTGCTAGTTTTGTGGTTGTTCTGTTTTTGTTTTTCCTTCACAGCAGCAACTTCCACTGGTGTACGGGGAGCAAATATTCCGGCAAGCCCGTACTCCTTTCTTCCGAGCTCCGTCGATATCCGATCACCTGCGAGCAAATAACGGTGAGCTACCCGGCGGTGTGTGGCCGGAAACACCCTCCGACGGTCAAATTAGCACACACCTTAAGAGGGAATGGAGAGAAGGGAGAGAGTGTTTGAGTGTAAGAAATTCCTTACAGAGTGTTTTGGTGTTAGTTTTGTTTTTGTCTTTCCTTCACATCAGCAACTTCCATTGCACAATAGGTTTTAAGCATCATGAGATGAACTCGGTGAAGTTCTAGTGCCTGTCTTGGTGTTAGTCTTCGTGACATTCTGTTTTGCTCATCTGGGGCTGCTACTACTGGTTGTTATGTTGGTTGCTTTTGTTGCTTTAGCTTTGTTTGTTGGTTTCTCACCAACTGGAGCTTGGAGCTTGAGCTAGCTCCAAGCTCTTCTTTATTGATACAATTCTCGTACTTTGTATGTTCTTATCAATAGAGATCTCTTTTGACGTTCAAAAAAAAAGGTTAATAGATACACATGCACATATATATAATCAATTGGGTACACACAATGTGCAATGATTTTTGGTAATGGCTAGAACGAAACTTTATTTAAAAACTCCTAAAAACTAAAGTTGTTGTGACGAAGAATTTACATAAATATTCTATTGATAACTAGGCTAAAAAGATCACATCAAACTTTGATGTGTTGTTCAGTTATATGATAGTATATATGTATACATTAAGCTTGGTTGTTAAGAGAACTTGAATATATATAGTGTAAAATTGAGCCATAGTAGAATAGTTTTATTTTACTTTTTAAATTTTTTTGGGTGTAGAAATTGTAGAAGCATACCTTATAAGATCTACTAATATTAACAATGTTGTTTTTCACATTTTTTTTTCTTGGTACGGATTGCACGACATCGTATCCTTTGATTAAAAATCTGTAAAAATGTTTATGAAACACCAACACATGCATGCCCATACAACATGTGGAGTGGGGTGTTGTTGTTCTTATTAAATTTTATTATTGAAATTGCTTCTCAGATCTAGTCTATGCACTATTGCACATGACACTTAATTCTTAAAATTTAAGATAATTTTCACCTTTTAGAAACCGATATTATAAGCCATACTTTCTTCTTTCTCTTTTTTCTTCAAGATTTCTAATAGTAGATCACTCTTTATATTAGATGCCTAGGTTTGTTCCTAACAAAATGCTGTTGTAAATATTTATTTTAGGCACCGTTTGGGAAGAAGTTGGTTGGGCTTTTTTGGCTATTTTAGCCACAAAAAACAAAATAGGCTATTTTAGCCATAACAAACAAAACATCACATCCAACCCATAATCATTACACTCTTCTCTCACAAAAAAAGTCAAAAAAGTCAAAAAGCCAAAAAACTCTTCCCAAACCAAGCTTTTTAGCCCAGGCTAAAATAGCCAAAAAAGTCAAAAATTCAAAAAGTCAACTCACTTCCCAAACGGAGGCTTACTATTGCAAAAAGTAATTGTCACAACGTGACAACAACAAATGAGAGAAAAAAAATACTAGGGTCCGTTTGGGAAGAACTAAAGTGGGCTTTTTTGGCTATTTTAGCCACAAAAGATAAAATAGGCTATTTTAGCTACAAAAAACAAAACATTACATCCAACCCATAATCATTACACTCTTCTCTCACAAAAAGAAGTCAAAAAAGCCAAAAAGTCAAAAAGTCCTATCCAAACCAAGCTTTTTAGCATAGACTAAAATAGCCAAAAAAGTCAAAAAGCCAACCCACTTCCCAAACGGAGGCTAAGAATTACTAAAACTTTTGTGAAAGTAAATTTGCCATTTTTCTTTTGGTGCAACCACAAATGCTATTTCTAATGCGAACAAAGTTAGAGATATATATATTTTTTTGGCCAACACACTTTGTTGTATTAAATAATACTTTTGCACCGACAATTTTTTTGTTTCTAATATTATTTACATTAGCAAATTTGCCATCGTAAAAAATGTTACTTTTAAAAAAATAAATAAAATAAAATAGTTATTCGTTATGCTTGATTTGGGTTGTCCAAGAAGACCAAAAAGAAGCATTGAGGGTTGGTGGCAAGAATCAAAATTTGGGTATTTTGCTAAAACATTTCAGAAACATAAAGCAAAATTATATAAAAATTTAAAACATTTGAAAATGTTTAGACACAAAAACTGAAACCAATATAAAAGTTAATATACTTTAAATATTTCAATAATTGAGCATGCTGAGGTTTAAGAATATTAGAAGAGCCTAAACAAATAATTTAAATGACTTGTTGGAGAATAAGTTTGCCACTCTAAGAAAAAAAAATGCAAAAATCTAGTAATGGTAGTTGGGATGGAAAGAAAGTGACTTACTCATGTTTGTTATATTTCTCCCCTCTCGATCCCTTCTCTTTTCCTATTCAGTTTCTCAAAAAATTTAATAAATTTAATATGTATTTTTTATTTCACAATTTCTGTTAACAATAAGAGGAAAATTAAAACGAGTATAGTTAAATAATTTTTTTTCATGACTTGAAACAACTCATTGTTTCGATATATTTTGTAGAGTTTCAATGCATTTTGATATATTTTGATAGGAAAAATTAAGGCGTCTTTTGGCAATCCAAAAACAAGTCATTTGTCTTTAGTGATTTTATTTTTCAAAGTTATGTCAAAATTTTTTACTTTTTTGGTCAATCTTGTCGAGACGAATCTAAAAACTAGTTATTTTTGAAAAATTTCAAAAAAAATTAAATTAAAAAACCCAAATAAGCCAAAAAAGATTCCTTATTTTTGTCTTTTCATTTTTTTTTAAATTATAAATTTCTTATTCGTTGAGCTAAATCTAGAAATCTAATTTTTTTTAAATTTTTTTTTACTAAAAACGAAAATAAGTCAAAAAATAAACAAACCTCAAAACAAGCCTAAATAAGAAATTGAAACATTACAACATTTCAATTGAATTTTTTTTTGAGATTTTGATCCTCAACTAGCAAAAAAGAGTTTGGAGGGGCAGCAAAGGCAATTTTTTACTTTTATTTTTTATATGCATATTCAGACCTGTCAGTCAGTCAATTTTGCAACTAATATATGAACAACAATGCAAAATTCAATGCCTAAATATCAGGGAGATGGTTGTTCTTGTTCAACAAAAAAATATCAGGGAGATGGAGTGACAAAGCAGTAGGTGTACGATAACTGCAATATGACGCAAAAATATCTAATTTATATAAATTATATTATATTACACATAGTTGGATTTGATGCTAACTCAAAATTTTTAGTTTTAAATGGTAAATTATACCAAATTCATCATTCAAAAAAATCAAATCAAACAACACCGTTTGATTTGGTCTGAACTAATTTATGACTTTTGTAGGTTTTTTTTGGTTCACCCGTAATAATTTTACAGTCGGGCTATGCCTCGAATCTATTTTATTTTATTTATTTTTATTTTTTTTGTTAAAAAAAGTTGATTATGTGTAGGGGTGTGTTAAAAAATTAGGCATCTTACACTGACTCAGTTTGTGTAGTTTGATAAGGTGAGTGAGTTGGATTGGACTGGTTTGGTGATAAAATTGACTAATCAGTTACAAAACTGTATGAATTAACAAAAACTGATTAGTCAATTTTATCACCAAATCAATCAAACCCAACTCACTTCCCTTATCAAACCACACAGGCTAAGTTAGTGTAGGATATCTATTTTTTTAACACACTCCTACATATAACCACCCTTGCAAAAAAAAAAAAATCAAATCAATCTAATCCCCAAAAAAAAAAAAAAAGCACAAGTTCAATTGGGTTTCAAGTCTCTCCAAACTTTCAATCTTGCTATTGCTTGCTACGCAATGCTGGAGATTGTTCACTAATCCTAACTCTTTTCTTGGAAAAAATTCGTGGTTCGGTTCCGGATTGAAAAATTAAAAATCCGTAGTACACGGATTGGTTCCGGATTGAATCCCACGGTTCCGGATTGGAACCGATCCATACCGTATACAAATAGTATATATTTTTGTTATACATCCTCCCCCATAGTATCTTCTCTTATTCTATATAAAATCTAAACTCAAACCTAAAACCGTATAATATTTTCTTTTATTACTTTTGTTTGTTATTTTTTAGTTTTAATTTGTAATGGTCTAAATACTTATGGTGAAACCAGTTTTCTTATGGTTGTTTAAATTCTAGAACAATATGTCGCTATTATAGAAAAACATATTGCTATTGTGGAACTAATATAGCGCTATGTTTATATTTTTATGAAATTAAAGTGTTATATATATATATATATCCTTCCGGTTAAGAGCCGGTAAAGTGGCCTTAGTAATGCTTGTTATGCCTACTTGCAGGCACCAAACCTAGGGGATTACCTGAGTCGCATTTACCACCCCTTGATTATATATTGAAATCATTGGATTGATTATGTTTTCGAACAAGCATCTTACATGAGGTTTCCAAATGAGAAAAACTTACGTTTTTTAGCATAGCATGACATATGCATCCATTATTGCTTAACATGTATATACTTTGTTAAGATTTCTCTACAGGGCTTTTTGCTCATCCTTAGTGGAACCGCTTGCAGGTAAAGATGTTGTGATCCCGCCGAAGTAGGAGTGTGGTTTGTTTTTTTTTTTTTGGAGCACGGTTAGCCGTATTTATTAACAATGTTAAAAGATAACTTCTTACGGATATTTATAATTTTCAAAATGTAAAAATTTACATTTTTATTAAATTTGAGTGAACATGTTTGTAATTTATGTTTTTTATTTTTTTATAAAAAATTTTGACCCACCAACAAATTTCAAATTTTGTAATATTCTTTTGAACACCTGATTTAATACTAAAGAGATTGTTTAGGATTTGC